TTTTTAGTCTTAGTCTAAGTAGTGCTTAAAAACCATTGAACAACAATTGCCATGTTCAACTAGATCCCTTCCAAAGTTCATCCCACCTGAATCCAAGATAAGCAAACTAGAACAGCCGGCCTGAGACTGAGCCGATGCCACCGTTGGTGGATCTCAAGATCTCTCCAAATCCTTGGCCGAAACGCTTGTGGGGAACCGAAAGAAGAACCGCCACTCACAAAACATGAAACATAGAGAAACATGTCAGAATCAATGCCATGATTCATGATACATCATGATACGTACTATATATAGAAAAACCGTAACAAGAAGTGAACCAAAATCCAAACATGATAAGCACAGCTGGAAAAAACATGAATTTAAAAAAGTCAACACCCCTGAGGCCCATCAGCCCATGGCCATGGCTATGGCAATTTTTGTGCCGTTGCCCATGGCAGGTGCGTCATTTTGGGTTGGTGATGTCTATGGTAAAGACGGTAGTTTCACTACGGATAGATTGGTATAGCATTGGTTGATGAACTTGTATTGATAGCAGTTGTCAACTGTTGTCAACTGTTGTCAACTGTTGTCAACTGTTGTCAACTGTTGTCAACTGTTGTCAACTGTCATGAAACCATCAAACCTACAGTCTCTTCTTGGTTAACTGCTCAATCCTTTGGCTCAAGCAGTGTATCGAATGGAACACATGGTTTGGCAATGAACATGTAGAACTGCTCACAGCCACCTGGCTTGTTAGCTATGTTGGTTTATCACTCCAATAACTGTGCGTAGTATAGTATATAGATATACCGAACTGGTCACTGGCGTCAAAATAAACCAAGAAACATAACTGAGGGGGCGGGGGGTGGTCACCTTGAATAACTCAATTCTCTTAGCCATATTCAGCAGTGTTCCCGGCGGTTCTAACATACATGGCAGAACATCCGCTCCGTGTCTTCCTCACAGTCGGCTTAATAGTAGCCCTGAACTTGGTGCAATGAGTTCTTGGCGGAGAAACTGAGGTTGAGTGAGACCTCAGTATATGTCTCCGGACCGAATTCCAAGCTCAGGAGAGACAATGTCTCCTTTTGCATTTCAAGATGGCTGGAATGTTTCCCGAACTGCCGCGCGGCTTCGCCCGCAGCAAAATTGAACTTCGGTGGACTTTGCACCATGGACAAACACCATTTTCAGTTGGTAAATCAACCATAAATGGCCATTTTCAAGCCATTCATGAAGTGCATCATCTCGGAAAGCGCCATCTTCATCAAAGCGCACGATCTTGGGCCCTTGGGCTTCAGACTTTCAGCCCATCTTGAAACGTTTGATTCTGTTAATCCAATTCCCAAAAATGAATTCACAATCCACCAGCAGCTTTCCTAATATGGAGCTTTCCGTCATGGGGGTACCCCCGGTTCTCATCCATTTAGTTTATAGGATGGCTTTTCAGAAACCATTCAGCTAGGGTACCCCCATGACTATGGAACCCCAGGTTTCCCCATCCGCCAAGCATCGATCCAACAGCACCGACGAGGTCGTGCCACGCAGAAAGGACAAGTCGTGCAGATGCGCGGTGCAGCGCTGGCTCTGGTGGTGCTCCAGTGTCCTCAAGAGATGCTGGACATAGCTGGGAAATGATGGGGATTTTATGGGGACTTAGTGGGAATTGAGTGGGATTTAAGAGGATGTTTGACGATTTCTTCACGGATTTTCCAGCCAGCCATGTTTGATCACTCGAACGGTTGGACAAAAATACACCCAATGACTGGGCCCCCAACATGGATAGATCCAATACCAAGCCGGGTATCTGATAACGATTTTGGTGGTGGGATTATTCATCCACCAAAATCAGCGGATGGATTCTTCAAACATGCAAAATAAACAGTTTGATTGATTGACCTAAAGAAAATGAAGGACATGGGAATTTGGCTATATTTTTGTTTGTTGGAGAGAACCGTGATGCATACTATCGCCAAAGAAGTTGGGAAGCATGATGTTCACGTAAGATATGCGGGGATGGATGCTGGGATGCAATGGAGTGTCTGGTAACGGGATGTTGATGTATAGTGGGATACAATGGGGTGCAATACTGCTGAACATCGCAGCACAAACAGACATGGCGGATCAAAGCAAACAACATGAGGTTTGATCCAACAGAAAAGAGCATTTAATATGATCTAATTTGTGAGGACAGATCAACAAATCAGGTTCATTGGCATTCGGAGTCGCTGTGTGGCTTTATATGCCAATTCTAGACTGGTTAAGCCTCGTCGATTGATATATTAGGCTGCTATGTTGCTGCTTCAGATCAGATCAGTTGTTCTCCAATTCAACAACCGACCGGGCTTTCCTCATCTGGAGCTATCCTTTTACAAAAACATTGTGCGTTCCGCCACAAATGCAAGGAATAAAAAGTAACAACATAGTGGGACACTGGATCATTATCTAAGTATAACCAAGTGACTTTTTTGCACACATCTAGATCTGTAGTACAATCTTCATGGATTCTGGGAGTGATTTGGATCTTAAGTGCCTTGTGAACTGGTGTGTGGATTCCGAGCACTGGTATTGTGAGCATGTTGAGATGAAGGGATCTCTGGCGAGTAGCACTTCCAATGAACAACGACATCAGCATGAAAAGGCCTATTCTGGGTTCAATCATGTATTAATTGACTAGTGCATATACCTATATATATATATATAGATACAGGAATGATACAGGTATGTATCCATGTCTGTGTGTAATCCCTGCTCCCTAGTGCTAAAACACCCCCCAAATGGTAAACACATTGATCTATGTTTATTATTAAGGGGTATTTTGTATTAGGTTGCCCCGAATACTCCAATGAAAACCTTAATCATAAAATAAAGCAATTCGATTTCAATACATCCATGTTTAAAACTTATCTAAACTATTGCCAAAAACTGGATTTCGAAGCTTTCCCCTACTATTCCAATGAAAACCCAAACAATAAAAATAAACAAACTTGATTTCAAATTTGATTAAATCCCCTATGAAAATCTATTTAAACTATTGCCAAAACAGGATTTTGAAGCTTTCCCTTACTATTCCAATGAAAACCCAAATAATAAAAATTGATTCAATCCCTGTTGAAAATCTATTTAAAATATTGCCAAAAACTGGATTTTGAAGCGTTCCGCTAATATGCCAATGAAAACCCCAATTTAAAAAAAAACAAAACACATATTTGATTTCGAATTTGATTAAATCCCTCATGACAATCTATTTAAAATATTGCCAAAAACTGGGTTTTGAAGTTTTCCCCTAATATTCCAATGAATAAAACCCTAATGGTAAAAATAAAAAAAATAAAACTTGTGAGATGTGACCCTGATAAAAACATTAAAAAAATGCACTCCCATAGCGTCTTGCTCTCAATAAAAAACCTCCAGGTACCATTCTATTATTATTAATACGGGGTACAAATACAAACCATTATTTCACCATCCTGGATGTTCAATTAGCACAATTAAGAACGCACCGACCAAAAAAAAAGGAACTTGCCAATCCATTCCTATTTTTATGAATTGGTGGAGTCTCAGTAATAGGGAGAAGAGATTATATCTAATATGGACATATACACATTATAATCATTAATCAGATAATTCATATATATATAAATTATAAAATATAAATATTCATTTACAGTATGGCACGATGATTGCATTCTTCAACTACCCATTTAAGATCATCCACTGAGGTTCCGATGGCTCCTGGAAGTCGAGTCTTGCTCAGTCTCCTCAGCGGTTTCCTGCGCAGCCATGGCCATCCATATCTAGTCGTCCCGCCAGGAGTTCCCCAGGCAACTGCATCCTCTGAAATCAGATCCAAAAGGCGACATGCTACAGCTTCGCCCCGAAATACGGAGCCCCCCAAGAAACCACTATATGCATTTGTCCATGCCCTAGAAACACAAGAAAATGGCACTCAGCACTCAAGGGGAAAGAAAAAATATCATGGGGTGTTTACCACAAATTGATAGGCCTTTGCTTCCTCACCAAAGAACAAGACCCATTTCAAAGTGGTCACACAACGAAGTGCAAGGAAATCCTAGCCCCAACATACATGTTAATACTTCTATGTATTTCTACTATATAAGTATGGGATTTAGATATACACCTTTTGTATCCTTTGTCAATAAAAAAAATATATATATAGATACGTAGATAGATAAATAAATAGATAGATAGATAGATAGGAAAGAAAGAAGGAAAGAAAGAAAGATAGATAGATAGATAGAGAGAGAGAGATAGATAGATCGATAGATCGATAGATCGATAGATAGATAGATTAGGTTAGATTAGGTTAGATTAGACTAGATTGGTTTTGATTAGATTAGATTAGATTAGATAGATAGATTAGGTTAGATTAGGTTAGATTAGATTAGATTGGTTTTGATTAGATTAGATTAGATAGATAGATTAGATTAGATTAGATTAGGTGAGATTAGATTAGTTTAGATTAGATTAGATTGGATTAGATTAGATTAGAATAGATAGATAGATTAGATTAGATTAGATTTGATTAGATTTGATTAGATTAGACTAGACTAGATTAGATTAGATTGATAGATAGTTAGATAGATTAGAGAGAAATATAGAAATAAAAAACAAAAAAAATATGGAAAGATAGACAAAAATCAAGATAGAAAGATAGAGAAATAGAAAAACAACAATATAGATAGACAAATACACTAGATAGAAAGATAGATAGAAATATATTTTAAACAATATAGAAGGCAGATACACCCGATAGAAAGATAGATAGATAGATAGATAGGTAGATAGATAGATCGATAGATCAGTATAGATCGATAGATCGATAGATCGATCGATCGATAAATAGATAGATAGATAGATAGATAGATAGATCAATATAGATCGATAGATCGATAGAGATAGATAGATACATAGACAGACAGACAGACAGACAGACAGAGAGAGAGAGAGAGAGAGAGAGATAGATAGATAGATAGATAGACAGATAGATAGATAGATCG